ACACAAGAGGAAATCACTGAAGAAGAAGCAACTGGCTCAGAAAATCAGAATAGTCGAGTTACTATCCAAACCTTCCAGCCCAAACCTTGGAAGCACCAAAAGTCACACCCACTGGACAAAATTATCAGTGACTTATGCAAAGGAACTCAGACTAGATCGCAAATGAGGAACTTCTGTGCCTTCAATGCTTTTCTATCTACTTTGGAACCTCGCAACCATAAAGAAGCCTTAGAAGACCCTGACTGGATTATAGCCATGCAAGAGGAACTTAATGAATTCAAAAGAAATCAGGTATGGCATCTTGAACCTAAGCCACTAGATAAAAAGGTCATAGGTTTAAAATGGGTCTTTCGAAACAAACTTGATGAATATGGTACAATTGTAAGAAATAAGGCTAGGTTGGTTGTAAAGGGATATAACCAACAGGAAGGTATTGATTTTGAGGAAACATTTGCCCCTGTTGCTAGACTTGAGGCTATTAGAATTTTAATATCTTTTGCTGCTTTTATGGGTTTTAAACTGTATCAGATGGACATAAAGTGTGCGTTTTTGAATGGTTTATTAAAAGAAACAGTTTACGTCGATCAACCCCCTGGATTCGAGAATCCAAACTTTCCAAACCATGTTTTTAAACTTGATAAGGCTCTCTACGGGCTAAAACAGGCTCCAAGAGCATGGTACGAAAGATTGTCCAAGTTCCTTTTGGAAAATGATTTTAAACGAGGAAAAATTGATAAAACTTTGTTTTTAAAATCTAAAGGAACTCATCTCTTAGTTGTGCAGATCTATGTTGATGATATTATATTTGGTGCAACTAACGAATCTTTGTGCAAGTACTTTGCTGACTTGATGTGCAGTGAGTTCCAAATGAGCATGATGGGGGAACTCAATTTCTTTTTAGGACTGCAGATCAAACAAACAGAATTAGGAATATTTATACATCAGCAAAAATATGTCAAAAAGTATAACCTTGACAGCGCAAAGACTAACCACACTCCTATGGAAACTAACTCTAGGTTAGACGAAGATCCCTCTTGTGTACAGAGGTTCCAATCAAACCCCAAAGAATCGCATCTAACAGCCGTCAAGAGAATACTGAGATATCTCAAAGGAACTGACGACTTGAGTTTATTCTACCCAAGAAGTGACACATATGATCTTACTGGATTTGCCGATGCCGACTATGCTGGGGATTTGGTGAATAGAAAAAGTACATCAGGTATGGTCCAATTCCTAGGATCTTGTTTAGTTTCTTGGAGTTCCAAGAAACAGAATACAGTTGCTCTATCCACAGCAGAAGCAGAATACGTAGCAGCTGCTCCATGTTGCTCACAACTGTGGTGGATAAAACAACAATTACGTGATTTTGGCATAGTTCTTGAATGTGTTCCAATATACTGTGATAATACAAGTGCTATTTGCATATCAAAAGATCCAGTACATCATTCACGTGTAAAGCATATTCATGTTAGGCATCATTTTCTAAAAGACAATGTGGAAAAAGGCTCTATTAAACTAGAATTTGTACAAACTGAATATCAAATTGCTGACATTCTAACAAAGCCTTTGAGTAGAGAAAAATTCGAAAAGATGCGATTGGAACTCGGAATGATAAAGCTGAATTGAGCAGTTCTTCTTAGAACCCCAAGGTATGTCTTAGTGAAACGACTGAGCATTGCTATATATAACCTTGGTGTGAAAAACATAATCTCGAATCTTGCAATGAAAGAGTGTGTAATTCTAATGAGTATGTGATCATGTGATTATGTTGATGAAGAAGACAAATTAAGCCATATTATTTTCCAAGTTCCTTCTTGTAAAGCTCTGTACATGTTAACCAGTATTTTACTTTGAAGTAACTTACTGGAAGTTTTTTTTCTTTCGTAATTTTTATTTTTTAAAATTTTATTTTTATCTTTTTAATTTTTTTTGTTATCTTATAATTTTAAAAACAACAAAAAGATTTTTTTTCTCAATTAGATTCTATCTTATTTTTAATTTTATCTTTAATTTTTATTATTGTAAGTAAATCACAAAATCCTTTATCTTACCCCACTAAACTTTCAACCATCATTCATCTCTGACTTGAAGAAGGAGAAGTATCAGACTTGCTACATCTAAACCCAGAACCCTGCGATCTGAGCCTGTTATTGTTGAGTTGGATGATGATTCAACCAAAGTTTCTGAAGGAACTTCCATCCAAGTTCCTTAGGGTCCCTCCTCATCTGTTCCAGAAGAAACTCCATCACCACCTCCAATTCCATCCCCTGCTCACCAAACCACACCTTCTCCACCTGCTTCACAGCCTCGTACTTCTGGTCTCGGCTTCAGTGCTTTTAGCTCTGGTCCAAGTTTCTTGCAAATCCAGGAGGAACTTAAGCTTTTGTCCACTACACTTACACAGAGTATAACTAACCTTTCTTCTAAAGTGGATAACCTGGCTACTAAAGTTGAGGGGCTGCAAACTCAGATGCTTTCTCTGGAAGATAAAGTAAATGCTCATATGGACTCCTCGGCTCAGGAACTCAAAGCTAAAGTGAAGCAAAGTTGTTACAAGACCATTCTCGATGCGATCAAGGATGTTACCTTACCATGAAGCTGCTACCATTTCCTAGCCCTTTGCAAAACAAACCTACCCCACTCTTTCTTGTGATTTATCAAACAATGATATTGTCCTTCAATTTTATTTTGTTTGGCTTGTTTTGAACACTTTATTTTGTTTTATTTCGGTTTGTATTAAACTGGCTAAGTTTGTCTTTGAATTTGATGTTTTCATTTTGGTTGCATATGAACTGTGCGCGCATGCTTAATCGTTCATGAATTCAGATTTACTACTCCCTCCGTAGTTTAGTACTATATATAGCATGCTCTTTCTATCATTTTGATAATGTCAAAAGGGGGAAGAGAAGAACAAACTCAGAAAGCTGGACTCAAACCGATTCCCTTCAAGTCTTCATCATTTAAGTAAAGGTATAAATTTCACAATTTATTAATTTCATGAATGATGCAGACTTCTTTATCCTTAGTTTATTTTATTGCTTTAAATAATTTAATTGTTTTATTTAAGTATTGGTTACTCTGATTGCTTGGATGTTTGTTTTGTTTAACCGAGTTTGTTTTTGTTTGTCATCATCAAAAAGGGGGAATATTGTTGAATTGACTACCTTAATATTTTGATGATTGACTTACATAAAACAAACTCTGACTAATGATGTTTATGAGTCTTGGTTGAACATAAAGATTCAGGTACACAAATACATGTTCCGGAGTGTTGGAAGGAATTAAGAAGAAACTCGAAGTGTTGGAAGGAATTAAGAAGAAACTCGAAGTTCCTGAAGGAACTTGACGAATGACTCAGAAAGTTTTAAACGAAATTTTTAAAACGGTTTTCAAAAACCCTTAATTTAAGGAAGTGATAAAAATCAGTTTTGAAAAAGATTTAAAAAGATTTTATAAATAAATAAATAATTCATTAATTTAAAAAGATAAGTTTTAAATTAATTAATTATTTATGTTTTAATTAATAAATAAATAATTATCTTTTTTTAATAAATAATAATTATCTTTTGAATAAGTCTTTAACTGATTTTTAACTTGGTAAATATTGGCTGCTTAAATTAAGGAGCACGTTGAATTTAGGAGTCAAGCTAGGGAAATCATGTTCCTAAATTTCCTCTGCCTACATCCCAACTTCTCAGTCAAAGAGAACGTGGGATTAAGGGGGAAGTGGGAACTTGATGGAAGCTTGGTTTAACTCCTTATAAAAATAGATCAACGTGGCTTTTTGAAAGTGTGGAAAAACAATCTTAAGTATTCTGAGCATAGAGTTTCAAAGTGTTTAAAAGAGATGTTCCTTCCATCCTTAGTCTCTTAAGTTCTTTAGGAAATACTTGTAATCATTGTGTAATTGGGTTTGGGTTGTGAGAGTTGTAAAGTGTGAGACTTGAGAGAGTTGTTTACACTGTACAAGTGATTCGGAGTAGAATCACAAAGTGTGAGAAACTGTGATTAAGGGCACAGTTGGGTAACTTGAGTTCCTCACGGAACTTGAGTCTAGGCAACGTATTAGTGATTGTAAATCATTTTTATATAGTGAATTTATTCATTGCCTATCTCAGTGTCTTTTCTCTTAGTAGTAGATTTAATTCCGCAAAATTTACCATAATCTACATACACTACAATTCACCCCCCTCTTGTAGTATACATTGTTCTATCAAGGAGATATAATTCCAGCTGGGCTAAGGGAACTTTGTAAAGCTCTGGTGTGCTACTCCTGCAGTTGATAACTCTAGACTGTTTACATAGATCAAACAGAGTAGATTGTCACCCTATAGGCCTATAAGAAGAAAGTCGCTCTAGCTGTCATTGTAGCTGCGGTGTATCAAGTATGATTATATCGAAAGGATAGAAAAGGCTTAGTGGGATGTGAAGGTTATTATGACTGACTAGTTGTAGAGGAATTAATGAATATTGTCAAGAGCAAAAACAGAGGCATCATGGAGAGAAAGGATACAGAGGATTAGAGGAATGCTATACAAAAGATAGCTCGCCCCCCCCCCCTCTCTCCTGATAAAAAAAATAAAAAAATAAAAATAAAAAAACTCATCAATGTATACTACATTATTTTTCTTTGCTTAGATTGGTATATGGTTCTTCTATATGGACCTATCTGTGTGCTGTAACCTAGTTTCAATTGATCTCAATTACCTGTTTGAACATATCTTTTATTCTTCTAGCCAAGTGGCTTACAATGTTGTTTGACGAGCCTGTACGTGGTGGTTCTTTTGTTTAGAATAGTCTTATTACAGACTTAATGTAGGATAAGAAAACATATCCACAAAAAAAAAAAGGTTGCATTGGATGGATGTGATATGTAGTTCATAGTCCTTAAAACACACAAGTGTACATGACTTGCCAAATTGCAGTGCATCGAGGTTGAACTATGAGACTTTGCTGCATATTGAATAAAAAAAGGTAATAGCAATAAAAATAAGACTTACCAGAGTCTATGAGACTTGGCATCAATGAATATGCCATTTTCAGCTGGATGATCTCTCTGCTAGGCCACTGCGAGGGTAGGCTCAGGAGTAAGTGTTATATACCATTTTATTTAGCCAACATATTGCAAGCAAATAATCTTACCATATTCCATGTCCGTTACCTTGCAGATATGGAACTCTGACAGTAAAGCAACCTTCATTTGGCCCAAGTAATTTTGCTTGAACATTTTTATCTCTTTGATATTAGAATCTTCCCTTTTTATTAGGCTCCATTTGGTTTGATGTAAAAGTGTAAAACATTTTCAATGAAAAATTCATGGGAAACATATTTTCAAGAAAACCACATTTGCAAGATAATTTTCCTTTGTTTGGTTCTTACAAGAAAAGTTAAAGAGAAATTAAAAATAGGAGTGGAAATGTGGAGATAGATGAGAGGAAAGTAAAAAGGAGATAAGGAGAAGGGAGGAAAATGTGATTTCCCTTGTTTTGTAAAGGAAAATGTTTTCCAGCATTATGGATGCAAATTTCCACCATTGGGAATATTATTTCCACCCCTTCACAAACCAATCAAAGGAAAATGGGAAATAATGGAAAAATCATTTTCCATGAAAACATTTTACATCAAACCAACGGGGCCTAAGTGCAGCAAAAATGCTTGGAGCACACAGATTGTACCTTACACTTCTCATCTTTTCCAATCGAAGTCACCTCTTCACATATGTTCCCATTCTAATCTGACACCATTAGCTACAGAAGCATCCCAATTCTCAAGAGAACGCTTTCTACAAAGTGAAGACAAAATCAAGTAATGCAGTCATGGCTGGTATATGCATTCAAAAAATCCATGACAATCAATGCACACAAAAGAACATCATCTCAAATAAACAAGCAATAGTCCAAAATTAAAGCAAAAAGAAATTGATTCTAATACTGTCCCAACAATAGAATGTTCCAGCGCTGACGGTGTACAAATGCAGACCTTCTCCCTATACACATATCTTTCATCAGCTACAATTTAATCACTATGTCCAATTATCAAGATTCCAGGAAACTGGTATACATAAGTAGGGAGCTAAGGACTTATAGATCCCCTGAAGTAACTTCCAAATTTGTATTGGTTGCTATATATAATTCTACCAAAGAAAAGACAGAAGGACTGGAAGTGAACAACCTTTGCATCCAACTATATCAGGTAGGCCCAATCAGTAAGTTTTTGTCTCTGGTGCCAGTAAATAATGAATTGGATCACTATATACAGCATTAGTGATTACAAATTTACAATCATGTACCAGATTCTTGAAAATAATGTTATAGAGGTGTCCTCATGAGAAGAGACGTTCTAAGGATCCAAATATCTTGCATTAGGAAAAAATGATAACAGAATATAAAGGTGGGAAGCCAGGAGCTATGTAAATTAACAATTTTAACAATATGAAACTAGTCAGATACCTATTGTCCCATGTAAATACCATTATTCTAAGTTTGGGCTATGTCATAATAATGTATATACTAGTATACTACCCTTTCAAATAGAAATCATTTTTTTTAATTCCTTTATGCCATCATTTCTTTTAGGCGTCATATAAGTGACTTAATTTGGAAAGGTGACAAATAGACAAATCAGTATTATTTTTTCCACATAGAAAAACTGACAGGTCATTCAACCGGGACAAAACTTCGTAAAAATTAAGATGTTTAAAATTACATACCTCATTGATTTGGAATTGTACTGAAGTCAAGCCTTTGTATGTGGTATTGGAAAAATTGGAGACAAGAATAAGAAACCAAGAAAAGGATCACCAGCTAAGTTCAACTGAAGCGATACAGAAACCAGAACAGTGAGTCACACAAGGCTCCACCCAGGTTCCTTGCTTAACCTAGTTCTTTTCATTAGATTTCTAATATCTTCCACCTCATCCCATTGCCCAATATCAGCACACATGTTTGATAATGATACATAAGCCCCATAATTAGATGGCTGCAATTCAATAACCTTTTTGGCTGCTAGCCTTCCAATATCAACATCGCCATGTAGTTTGCAGGCAGCCAACAGTGTTGCCCAAATCAGGGCATCAGGTTTTATTGGCATGCTATGAATAAAACTTTCAGCTTCCTTTAGTCTTCCAGAGCGACCAAGAAGATCAACCATGCATGAATAATGACGAAGGTGAGGTTCAATCCCATAGTCTTTGGACATAGAGCTCAGATGAGAATAACCCTCTTCCACCAAACCAGCATGACTACAAGCAGATAAAACTCCAACAAATGTCACAGCATCAGGTTCCAAGCCCTCACGTGTCATAGCTTCATAAAGTTTTAAGGCCTCTGTAGATCTTCCTTGTTGTGCATAGCTTACTATCATAGTTGTCCAGCTAATCAAGTCGGGTTTTATTATCTGGTCAAAAGCTTTACGACAATCATTGACAACTCCACATTTTGAGTACATTGTAATTAGTGAACTACCAACAGAAACATCAGACTCCAAGCCTATTTTTAAAATGAGGGCATGCAACTGAATCCCAATGTCGGTCATTTTTAAAAGAGCATCAGACCCAAGAATAGATGAAATCGTATATGAGTCAGCTTGGAGATTAGCTACAAGCATTCCATGGAGAACAGACAATGCTTCTTGAATGTCTCCGGCTTGGGCATACCCTGAAACTAAAACAGAGCACATAACTTGATCTTTTTGAGGAATCATGTCAAACACCCTCCTTGCTAAATCTTGAGCGCCACATTTTGAATACATATTTACAAGCGCACCTCCAATGAAGCTCTCTCTGCTAAGACCTGCACGGAAAACGTAGCCATGAACTTCCTTACCAATTAAAGGAGTAACAAGGGAGGAGCAAGCAGTCAGAACTCCCATGAAAGTCACTTGATCTGGCTTGCTCCCTGCTAACAGCATCTCTCTGAACAACTGGATGGCTTTATGAGGATATCCATGCTCAGCAAAACCAGAAATCATTGAAGCCCATGAAACGATGTCTCTATCAGGAAGCTGTAGGAAAACTTCATAAGATTCAAGCAAACGACCACATTTTGAGTACATGGTAAAGAGTGAGCTACCTACGCAAAGATCAAATACCAATCCACTTTTAAGCATGTAGGAATGAATCTGCCTCCCTGTGTATAGACAGTCTATGATGCTCAACATACTACCAATGGCAAAGTTGTCTGGTTTAGAACCATTCAACAACATTCTGCAAAATAAGTTTATTGCTTCCTCGATTTTCTTATTTTGAACAAAAGAAGATATCATAACATTCCACAAACATTCATCATCACAGTTATCCTGCTCTAGATACAGCAATTCAGATAAATGTACTTCTCCAGCTTTGGAATATGTACTGATCATAGAAGCGATCACAGCTGAATCAGCAGCCAAACCAGATTTAATTATCCATGAGTGCATTTGCATAGCTACATCTACCACGTATGACTTGGCACATGCACTGAGTATGCTAGTGATAGTATATTTGTTCACCTCAACACCAACTTTTCTCATTTCCCCAAATAACTTAATAGCAGAAACGACATCACCTTTTTGCACATAGCCAGAAATCATAGCTGTCCACGAGACTACATTTTGAACAGGCATTCTGAAGAAGTTTTTAATAGCCTCATCCATAAGTCCACATTTTGAATATAAATCACTAATGCCAGTTCCTACAAACACGTCTTGCCCTGCACCATGTTTAATCACCAAAGCATGAATATTCTTCCCCATATCATCATTTTCAAGTGCATTACAAGCACCTAAAGCACCAGAGAATGTAATATTATTAGGAATTACAGCAAACCAACGCATTTGATGAAAGAGCTTTATAGCCCTTCCATGATCCCCACTTTTCACAGCCCCATTTATCATGTTATTCCAACAAACCACATTCTGTTCATAAGGCCAATCATCAAACAACCGAAGTGCATCATCAAAACGACTATTCTTCGAAAAGAGTTCAATCATTCCAGAACGAACATACCCATTAGAAAAATACCCATCTTTCAGAGTCAATGCATAAACCATTTTACCATACAACAAAGACCCTAAGCCACTACAAGCAGAAATAACACTCCCATAAGTATACTCATTGCTCCCATTACCCATCGACCTCATACGACAGAAATATCTCCAAGCATAATCATAAAATAAATCATTATTACAGCCCGAAATCATAACATTCCAGGAGATAAAATTTGGGCTAGGCATTTCATCAAACAGTTGGAATGCATCATCAATAGCAGAGAGTCTCATATACCAATTAAGCAAAGAATTTGAAAGAAACATATCTGAATGTAAAAAAGCTGATTTTATTAAATGGGTATGTAAAATTCTTACATCCCAGATTGTATTCATCTTTGATTTGCCCCATGAAGCAAAAATCTGATAAGGGTCGATATAATTTCTGGGAAAAACATCAAAATTTGCAGAAAAATTTGATGGGTTTTCAAATGCAGCTATAGAGGTAATAAATTTGGCAGAAAAAATTCGTGTTTTGGGTTTTTTGGAAATTTGACGAAGGAGGGAATTCATGGTTAAAGCAACCTGTGCTCATATTTTCAATTCTTCATAGTGTTCATAAATCATAATCATAAAATAAACTTGATTTTTGTAGTTATTTGGTAAAAATAATAAATTTTGACTATTAAGGCATCATAGTCAGGATGGCCGAGTTGGTCTAAGGCGCCAGTTTCAGGTACTGGTCCGAAAGGGCATGGGTTCGAATCCCATTCCTGACAATATAATGATATTTTAATTTTAGTTTTAAAAATTGTCTAAATTATTTTCCTAAGTAACTCATCGAATTGTCATTTTTTTTTCCATATAAATAAATACCAAAGTAAAATGAAAGAGTTATGTAGAGCATTATACATGCAATTTAAACACCAATACCTTACACCTCGCTCCTTTCCTCCTTCGATCACTCATCACTTACAAAATAGAGATATTTTTCATAGTACCATCTAAAGAACTAGTGTTGTTTTATTGTAAAAGGTGCACATAATATACTAATATTTGAATATTCAACTCAACTATACAAATAGTAGGAATGTAATTTAATTTCTCTAAAAGTTTGGAAGGGAAACTTCAAACTCTAGAAAGCTCACTACAACATAAACACCATTGTTGTGGTAATTACAATAATTACATGATAAATTACAATAATTACAAGATCTGATTATCACCAAGAAAAACACAGTACCCTGATGTAGAACGGCGAGTGTCCGGACACCCACCTCAATCGGCATCCGTGTATGAAATGATAGAAGAAACGGATGACTTATACAAATGCAAACCAAATTCAGGCGTACCTTGGATGCAACGAAATATGCATTTTAACGCATCCATGTGCTCTACACAGGGGGCGTGCATAAACAAGCAAACTTGTTGCACCACATATGATATATTAGGACGAGTGAAAGTCAAATACTGCAAAGCACCACATAGTCGACGATAAGAAGTCGAATCATCATATGGAGCACCGGAAGTAGTACTTAACTTCCTTTTGGAGTCAACAGGAGTAGAAAAAGGTTTGCAATTAGCCATGCTTGCTTTTTCAATTATTTCTAGAGCATATTTCTTTTGAGACAAAAATAAATCATTTTTGTCCCGGGAGACAACAATACCCAAAAAATAGCTCAATGCACCCAAATCTTTCATTGCAAATTCATAGCTAAGCTGTGAAATAATATGATGGTGAAGAGACTCTGAAGAAGCAGTAAGGACAATATCATTAACATAGAGAAGAATGTAGGCAGTAGCATTACCATGGTTATAGATGAAAAGTGAATTATCGGACTTGTTGTGAGTAAATCCGATAGTAGCAACAAAATCTGCAAAACGTTGATACCAAGCTTTGGGTGCCTGTTTTAGACCATATAGAGATTTTCGAAGAAGGCAGACATGATCAGGACGAGTAGGATTCTTGAATCCTAGAGGTTGATACATGTACACGGTTTCATTCAAATTACCATGTAAGAAAGCATTTTTAACATCCAATTAATGAATTGGCCAAGACTTGGATAATGCAATACTAAGAACCACCTGAATAGTAGTCGATTCAACAACCTAACTAAAAGTCTCATCACAATCAATTCATTCCCTTTGAGTCTTACCATCACCAACGATACGAGCCTTATGTCTCTCAAAAGAGCCATCAGAGTTCGTTTTATGCCAACAAATCCACAATGAATGAATAATATTCACATTAGATGGTCGCAGAACTAACTCCCAAGTTCCATTATCAATGAGAGCATCATATTCTTCCTGCATAGCAAATTTCCAATTATGGTCACGAAGGGCATGAACCAGTTCTTTAGAATAGGTGAGATGGAAGTAGAAGTGTGATGTGCTCGATCTTAATATTTAGATTTGTCTTAACAATCCCATGTTTACTACGAGTAGTCATGGAATGAGATGGTGTGGGGGTCGAATAGGAATGAGAGGTGGATGAGAAAGGTGGAAAGAAATCACAATGGTCGGCCTCGCCAGGATGGACATCTCCCACACTAGCACCCGCTTGTGACCTTGCGGGGTGGCAGGAGGTGGCAAAGAGCCACGCTGCCGAGTGCTAGGGAGAGTGTCACGGGCTGGTGAGGGTGGACTGTGAGTGTGATGCTGCAAAGAGGGGATAGAGGTGCGAGAGGGCTGCTGGGAGTGCAGCTGGGCCGAGGGATCTAGTGCACTCCGCAAGTGAGTTACGACAGCCTACGAAGTGTGCTAGCTGTGCGAGGATTGCCGAGCAGAAGAGGAGGGTGCGAAGCGAGCTAGCTGAGCAGAAGCATCCACTTGATGTACCCTCCCCCCACCAGCGTGCGCTGGCTGTGCTGTGGGTGTGGTAGGTGCGTGCGGCTAGCCTTGCGATGCTATGAGCTGCTGCAACATAGGGCTATCAAGAGGAGCAATAGCATCACCCAAGAAATCATAAGTGTGAGTTTGTGGGGAATGAATTTTAGAAAATGGAAAAACCGACTCATCAAACCACACATGTCTTGCTACAAATATTTTCCGACTTGATATATCATAACACTTATACCCCCCCTATGGTTGGAAGGAAATCCTAAGAAAACACAAGGAGTTGACGAGCTTGAAGTTTGTGTATTTAGAAGAGGGAAAAAGAGGATAACACAAACAATCAATGACTCTAAGATGAGAATAGACGGGATTCTTTTGATAAAGAATTTGAGTCGGTGATTTGTAGCTAAGAATTTTTGTGGGCAAAATATTATGAAGGTAAGTAGCCATTTCTAAAGCATAATGCCAAAACGATGGTGGCAAAGATGCATGACATAGAAGAGTACGAACAATGTTGTTGATCGTTTTTTATTTTTCTTTCGGCCTGCCCATTTTGAGGAGAAGTGTATGGACAAGAAAGACGAAAATTTATGCCATTTTGGTGACAAAACTTTGTGAAGGAGTCATTGTCGAATTCACGGCCATTGTCACATTGGAATGATTTAATTTCTCTCTCAAATTGGGTTTTGATATATGTTCGTACACGATTAAACAAATTATAGACTTGAGACGTAGATGAGATCGGAAAAGTCCATAAAAAAATTCGTGTAATTGTCAAACATAATATTTGTGGCCAAGAGAACTGAGAACAGGAGATGTCCATATATCACTATGAATAAAATCAAATGGCATAGTAGTATGAGACTCGGAATCATAAAAAGGCAATTTTAATAATTTTTCCAATGGGCAAGAATGGCAAACATGTTTAATAGCCTTATTACAATTGATAAGATTACTACTACGCAAAGAACTTAGAATCACATTTCCCGGATGACCTAAACGGTAATGCCACACACTAGGAGAGATAACTGCAAAAGCTGACGGAATAGAAGTTGAAAATAGTTGACGATCAGTGAAGAAAGGGTAGAGATCGCCACTGCTATTTGATAAGTCAAATTTATATATATTTTTTATTCCCAGTCCCACGGTCATATTTGTGCTAATTGAGCCCTGCGGAGCTATTTTTATTACTAATATACGTTTTCTAGTGTTAGAGTTGATATTATTTTGTAGGAATTTACATAATTATGGTAATTTCCTAGCTTATTAAACCACTACGAAGATATTAGAGTCGGATCATATTTTATGACTGATTATTTTAAGCTCAAGACCATGCTAAATAAATTTAGTTCGGTGATTAAGGGCTCGATTTGGCTAAAAATTAACTCTACAAGCTACCAATTAAAGTGCTAGTCCAAATAGAGTAATCAAAGATAAGGCTCAAGCTTGGGCCCCAAGTAAAAAGAAGCCCAGAACCAAGAGAAGTCAGCTGCTTGGCGGTATAAAATAGCAGGTCCGATCGGGCGGCCCAATGCCCGATCGGGAGAATGTGCTGCAAGCCTTATCTTAGTCGGTCATGCCATGTTATTAGACCTATAAAAATACTGCGATTTGGGCAGCTTTTGGAGGGGGGTTGATGTCATGTTATTATTCTTTTAGCTTAATTTTTTAGGAGCAGCTTTTGTTTGTTTGCAAATTGACTTAGTTTTAGTTTTATTAGTTTTTGAGTTCTTTATTTGCAGCTTTTCTTTAATTACGATACTTTTAGATTTCATTAGTTAGGTATTAGCTTTAGAATTATTTTCGTTCAGCTTCATAATTTTGTAGTTTCATTGCTATTACTTTTATTAATACCTTTGTTTTTGCTTTTGTTTAATTTTATTGTTTCGTTATTATTGTCTTTATTATGCTTAATTTAATTGCTTTAGTTAGTTTAGTTTTAATTATTGATAGATTGTCGTACACCTTTCAAAGATAAATTCCTAACAAAACCAACTAACAATGTAGTAGGGTAAGTAGGGTCGAATCCACAGGGAGATGGTATTCAATCTAGCTTTCAAGGTATGGAGAAACTAAATTATGTCACGAAATTTGGATAAAAATAAAGTCTAAATTAAAATAAGAATAAAACAATTAATAAAAAGACTTAGGGTTATGGTTCACCATGTTTATAGCTCTAAATCTATCAAATATCAAAAACAATTCAATCAATCAATTATCTAGAGCAATTGCTAGGCCTACGATCAGGTCTTAACGATCTCAATTCAACATATGTAATTCGGCCGCTAATATACTCAAAATTGCTAATTGTAGGTAAGTCCAAAGTAAGATCTTTCGATTCAAACTCTTATTAACAATAATTTAATCAAACAATTGATCAAGTTGCAAGATTAACAATAAAACACTATCAATTAGATAAATAAATAATCAAAATATTAATAACATCAATCAAGATTCATTATATAAACATGGATTCCCAAACCCTAGAAATTAAACTGTTCAAACATGAAATAAATAATAAAAACTAGATTTAAGGAATAAAACATAATTAAAAGCAAGAACTAGAAATAAAATACCTCAATGAACTGAAATAATAAACCCAAGAATCATTCATGTAAGAATCCAGAAGATGCCATGAGAAACTAGGGTTCATGAGAAAACTACAACGAATGTAAAATAATAAAACGCATTAAAGGCATGAGGGAAAAATAATATCTCTTAAGTATTTATATTAACCTAAAACTAATAAAAAAAAAATTAAATAAGAAAAGAAAATAAAAATAATAAAAGTGGTTTAACGATTGGTCGATTGAAAAAGTTATAATCAATGTAAGATTCCTCATCGTTTGCGTGCACACCCCACCCATCGGGCGATGGGTGGGCGATGGTCAGACTTCATGGCTAACGACGACACTCGGGCATCGGGCAATGGAAAACCAACGCCCAAGTAGCAGCCTATAACTAAGTAATATTAACATGTTATGAGAAAGAATGAGGTGATTTGATAAGAAATGTAGGAAATAGGCATCCTAGTAGTTATATCGGCCTTATTTGGGCCATTTTGGATGAAAATGCATCCTCAAACACTTGAATTGTTCTTTTCATGTGATTTCAAGCCTTAGCCGCCTATAACTAAGTAATAATGACATATTATGAGTAACAATGAGTTGATTTGATAAGAAATGCAGGAAATAGGCATCCTAGTAGTCATGTAGGCCTTATTTGGGCCATTTTGGATAAAAATGCGTCCTAAAACACTTGAATTGCTCAATTCATGTAATTTCAAGCCTTATCCATCTATATCTAAGTAATATTGAAGTAATATTGACATGTTATGAGAAAGAACGAGGTGATTTGATAAGAAATGTAGGAAATAAGCATCCTAGTAGTCATATAGGCCTTATTTGGGCCATTTTTAATCAAAATGCGTCCTAAAACCCATGAATTGTTCTTTTCATGTGATTTCAAGCCTAAGCCGCCTATAACTAAGTAATATTGACATGTTATGAGAAAGAACGAGTTATTTTGATAAGAAATGTAGAAAATAGGTGAAGTAGTAGTCATATTATAGGCCTAACTAAGTAGTTTTTGCCTGAGTGAACTTGTAAATGTATTTTTAAATGCATAACCTAAGTAATCACTTAAAACATAATTTTTGTTTGTTCCAAGTTTTTCAAGGTACAAAAGGGAGGTCCGTTGACAAGCAAGGAACTTAATGAAGTTCGAGACATGTAGGCGTCTTTCATCACCTTTAGTTTGTAAATGTCATTTCTATTGGAATTTATATTTTGTGAACTTTTTAACTACATTATTGATTAGTATTGTTTGTAAATATGACACTTTTTTTTTTTGAGGAATTGTATTATATATGACCCTTCATTGTATTGCATTTGGGATTATTAATTAATATCTATGTATTATTTTTATTATTTCAATTTATTATTATTATTATTATTATTATTATTTTAATATTAAATAATAATAATAATAAATATAATTATTATTGTTATTATAATAATGGTAGAATTATTAATGCAGGATGTACAGTTTTTTTTTTTTTTTTTTATTATTATTATTAGTATTAATATTATTATTTATTGCCGAAAAAAACCACAGTTAAAGGCAGCGGTTAAGGCTTCAAACCGGTGCCAATTGTATTGAAAAAAAAAGCGCGCCATGACCTTTTAGCACCGGTTAACCGGTGCCAAAGAGTGTATTTCGCACCGGTTAACCGGTGCTATATCTTTGAATTGCCACCGGTTTTGAACCACTGCGAAATCTTAAGAGATTTGGTATCCGTCAAATCTGGACCGGTTCAAAATTGATGCGCAATGGGGGGTTTGAACCGGTGCTAAAAACTATTTTTTGCCTAGTGAAAACACCTCATTCTCATATTTTGGAAAATAAAAAATAGTCATTAAAATAAATCCACAAAAGAGCAAGAGAACTTGCAAACACAAGAATAAGTAGAGAAAAAAAAGGGAAAAAAATATATACAAATTAGTCTCACCAAATAAGAAGCTAAATAAAATTAAGCCGTCTCCCCGGCAACGACACCAAAATTTGATAGGTTGTCGTACACCTTTCAAAGATAAATTCCTAATAAAACCAACTAACAATGTAGTAGGGTAAGAAGGATCGAATCCACAGGGAGATGGTATTAAATCTAGCTTTCAAGGTATGGAGAAACTAAATTATGTCACGAAATTTGGATAAAAATAAAGTCTAAATTAAAATAAGAATAAAATAATTAATAAAAAGACCTAGGGTTATGGTTCACCATGTTTATAGTTCTAAATCTATTAAATATCAATAAAAATTCAATCAATCAATTATCTAGAGCAATTTTTAGGCCTACAGTCGGGTCTTAACGCTCTCAATTCAACATATGTAGTTCGGTCGCTAACATACTCATAATTGCTAATTGTAGGTAAGCCTCTAAAAGTAAGATCTTTCGATTCAAACTCTTATTAACAATAATTAATCAAACAATTGATCAGGTTGCAAGATTAACAATAAAACACTATCAATTAGATAAATAAATAATCAAAATATTAATAACATCAATCAAGATTCATTATATAAACATGGATTCCCAAACCCTAGAAATTAAACTACTCAAACATGAAACAAATAATAAAAACTAGATTTAAGGAATAAAACATAATTAAAAGCAAGAACTAGGAATAAAATACCTCAATGAATCGAAATAATAAACCCAAGAATCATCCATGGAAGAATCCATGGAGATGCCATAAGAAACTAGGGTTCAAGAGAAAACTACAACGAACGTAAAATAATAAAAGGCATCAAAGGCATGAGGGAAAAATAATATTTCTTAAGTGTTTATATTAACCTAAAACTAATCTTAAAATATAAAGATAAATAAGATAAGAAAATAAAAATAATAAAAGTGGTTTAACGATTGGTCGATTGAAAAAGTTATAATCGATGTAGGATTCCTCATCGTTTGCGCGTACACCCCACCCATCGGGCGATGGGTGGGCGATGGTCGGACTCCACCGCTAACGACGACACTCGACCATCGGGCGAAGGAAAGCCAGTGCCCCAAGCAGCAGCTCACGCATGAGCGCACATCACGGTCATTGCCCGATGGCTGGGCGATGGGTTGGCAGCTTCGTAGGGTCAAATTTCAAGGGCCGTATCTAAAGAAATAAGAATTTTATATGGGCGTGTGACCTATAAATGGAAGGCTCTTTAAGTCTACTTTCCAACGCAATTTAAATCGCTACAATCCAATTTGTAGAACTCAAGTTATGATCAAAAGAGTGACCAAAGGTCTGTTTTGACACTTTGTAAACCATCGTTTTTCTCCGTTTCTAACTCAAATTCATCTTCGAAAGGTGCATAGCGATCCTTGTGAATGCTATATTCATTCCTCATGCACATAAATCTCAAAATCAACATCCACGAACATGGGACCTTCGATAAATAAACTCAATTCATCGGCTTCCATCTAAATATCATCCGAATCAACTCCAAACACTTCGAAAGCATCCAAATGACTATGAAATCACCTGAAACATTAACAAAAACACAAACGGAGCCCAATAGAGTACAAAATAAACAAATTATGCATTTGCGACCTAAAAAGCGACATAAAGACCTAAAAAAGCAACTATAAAACTAGCATAAACATGCCTATAAATCCTATATAAATGTGATTCATCAATTATGCACGAGTAGTTTAATTCTAGGGTTCTTAGGGATTTATGAATAATGAAGGGATGATTTATTATTGTTGATTGTTAATGTTGTGGTTAATTTCCTATTGATTATTATAATGATATGCAATTGGATTTGCACAGGTTTAATTATATGAGTAATGCAATATTGATTCGAGATTTGACAGATGAGAATTAATATTAAGGCCTAGTTTCAATAGGTAGAATTAATTTATAAATGGTTAAGTCAAGATTCGAGAGATGCAAGTTAATACCGCTAAGTTAATTCTGTGATTGTAATACGTAGCGAAAGCCCTTTATAATCTGGTTAATTAATGCATTGATAATTGATTGTTGTCTTTCATCCCGGAGTATTATTTATTGGTGAACCTATGACCCTAGGTATTTTTATTATTGCTTATTCCCTTAGTTTAATTATTGTCATAGTATAATTCTCACAAAAACACTCGTTTCTTGATAATTTAGATTTTAATAATTTATTAGGAATAAAAGAACATTGTTTCCCTGTGGATTCGACCCTACTTCCCTATCTAATTTAGTTAGTGGTTTTATGAATTACTTTTGATTAGGTGATACGACTTTAGCCTGTCACTATTACATCTCACTATTTTGCTCCCCGTCTGCAAGTCCTTCACAGAAAACCCAAAAGGATCAAACTCAATAGACACATTATTATCAACAGTGAATTTTCTAATTGAGATGAGATTTTTGACAAGTTTGGGAACATGTAGGACATTTTTGAGTTGGAGTGTGTATTTGAATTTTTCTACCATCATCAACAATAATAGAAATATTATTATTTTTGCTTAAAGGAAAATGTGACAATAAATTACCTTGAGAGTTCGTCATATGCGATGTAGCACCGGTATCCATATAGTAATTTGGGTCGGCAAGAGACATAGTATGCATTGCTTGGTCAATGTTGGTCGACATATAACCCGAAGTAGAAGACAGATTGGTCATGAAGTATGCTTGAGGAGGTCGAGGCCCAAGAAGGCCGGGCTGCTAATGGCTTGCCTGACTCGGCCTGGCTGCCACCCACTGTGCTAGACCCAGACCTTATGCTGGGTACGGGCAGGGGGGTGTAGGCCATGGCCCCTGCTTCCAGTAGGCCCACGATGGTGGGAACATCCACCCCGCCTGCTGGTGCTGTTGAGATGCGGTGGTCGAACCCCGCTGCTGGTGCTGCTGTTGCGGCTGGGTGTTCCGGCCATCAGAACCACCGCCTTTTCCCTTGCCGCCACCACCCTTGCCTTTGTTAGGTTTCCGGCCACTATTTCCTGCATTATTCCCACGAGAACTACCAGAAATTTGGGAATTTTCAGCATGATTTTACGAAGCCGGAGTTGAGGACTGAGCATATGCGCCTCCTCATGAGACTCGGATTGAAGGTCAGCAACATTGCCTTGCTCTTCCAATTCAAGAATCGAACGCAAGGCGTCAAAAAGGGGCAAAGGATTTAGATGACGGATAGAAGTTCGAAAGGGTTTGTAATCCTCTGATAGACCTTTTCAAAAGCTGTAATGCCATTCGATTATCGGAGACTTTATCTCCAACATTCTTCAAACAATCAGCAAGAGGTTTGAGACGGGTGAAATAGGGCTTCACACCATCAAAATGTTCAAGTGAATTGGGCATCCAGTTGCAATGCCCTAGCCGACTTATTATTGTGGAAAATTTTTTCCAATCGATTCCATGCATCAACCGCTTTATCATCCGAATCAATGATGGAATTGAGAAGGTCATTTGAAATTGTCCCATAAATCCATTAACGCACAATATCGTCAAGTCGTTGCCAGAGAGCCATGTCAACGGGTGCGGCATCCTTAGCAGCCGGATCAACAACAATTTTAGGTTTGGGTTTAATATGGTCGATGACCCAATTTACGTGGCAATGAAGTTGGAATAGGGTAGACCAGTTGTTGTATTGAGTACATACCATCGTAATCAAGAACAATAGGGATGCAAGTCTTGATGTTTTTGACCAAGGTCGTAGGATGGATCTTGGAGGAGTCGGCCATGGTGGATGGAGAAGAAAAGAGAAAAGGAGGAAAAAGAAGAGCGAAAGAGAATTAGGTATGATCGTATCCTAGACTCGTGATACCATGAGAGAATATGAGAAATATTTGTCGTGGCCTTTTCATTGATTGCAAAGCAATATATATACAAAATACAATCGGCTAAACTAGGTAAACTTGATAAATACAAGGCTAATTAATATACAAATATATTATATGCATAATTAGATTCTTTCCATAATCTAACAATAACCTCTATAATGATTCGTGTATTCCGTTTGTAACAACTAACAATCAAAATTTCTCCAAGAGTTTGACATACATTAAACCCTCATTTTGGTTTATCATACACTACTTGTAAATCATTCTTCGGTTCTTGTTGAACTACTAAAACCGAGAACCCAAAATCCGGGGTAGCTAATAAGTCACCAAGAATCCCTAACTCCGGATATTCACAAAACCCATCAAAAGAAAGTCCATATAATGGTGCACATTCAAAGTCATGGTGTCTTCCTACCACCACTAAATCAATAACACCATTCATTGAGAGCAAAACATTAGTGGTGTCAGCGCCATCATTAACAATCACCTCCTTCAATGTCATTAGTCTCTCGTTCTCCATTCTACCGGAAGCTTGGAAGTTCTTTATCATCTCATGATTTAAGGCGTTATATTTATCTTGTTTTGGAGATTTTAACCAAAGGACAATTACCTTAACATTTGGATGATTACCAAATAGTCTAGTAAACGCGAGAGCTTCCAAGTCATCTACCCCTCCTATGAAGATAATTGCTACTTGATAAATATTTGTATCGATTATACCTAAGTGAGGATCGGCCCTATCTAGCAACAAGGCAACCGAGCATGGTGCCTTTTCGAGCACCATCTTATTAACTTCCCTCAGAGATAACGAAGAGTCTTCGATTATTTTCCCTACCTTAGTCCATTGTACTTGCAAGTGAAATGGTAAAATAAGTAGGCTTGCATCTTTCTCATAAGCAAGGCTACATATATCATTGTGCATGGTTTCATAGGAAGAAATGGATATGTAGTGCTTTAGGCGGGTGTAGCCTTTAGACTCACGTTCGAGGTTTAAGAAAGATTCAACTATACGATTTGAAAATGCAATCTTTGTACGGAACATAGGCAATGACTTGACTTGATCCAAGGGTGCCATGATAGGCATGGTGCAACGACCGGTTAGTGGCATGAGTTGGAGCAAAATCACGGGGATTGGCCTTGTTCGTGTAGGATGAAACGCCTCGATGAGACGTATAATTCCAGGCAAATTATCTTCCTTGTAAAGACATGTTAATGTTTGAAATGTATTGTTGTTGGTTGAATCTGTCACACTCGGCCTAAAAATTGAAGTGTATTGACTTAATGGTTCGTAGAAAAGTTTAACTAGTGGCAATAATGCTCCAGTTAAGATCAAATAATGAAACATTGCTAATGTGTACTCTTCTACGTTCAACCACTGCAAAAATCAAATGAAATGAGTTAGCAAATCAATCATCAATCTAAAACATTGAACATACTAATTTAAGGGGGCGCTTGGATTGAGAGTATTAAATTAAGGGGTAATAAAAGTCAAACCAAGCAAAATTAAAGTAAACATAGGAGAGGGAGAGCTAGTGGTGATGTGATTGTAAGAAGATTTATATAGTGATGGTGTGGTGATAGGTGAAGAAAGGGAACTATTACCCTTATTTTGGGGGTAATAGGTTACACTAGGGGGAGGGTAGGTAACCTATTACCCTCATTTTGAGGGTAATGATTCCTCCACCCTTCTCTTTTCCTTATGACACTACAACCTTAATTCATTCATAAACACCTTGTCTTTCTACAATAATACCTCTAAAACTATAATTTACCTATTTTGACTTTTATTACCTTCTTTAATTTATTACCCCCATTCCAAGTGCCCCCTTATAAATAATATTTGAGCCTAATATGTTAACTATATTAAACTTCTTGTTAACTATATTAAACTTTTTCATTTCAAAAATCTATTTTAACAGGTAACCAATGTGTATATTCACATACTAATTAAGGCATTTTAGGAAAAATAAGATGTAAAGAACATGATATCATCACTAACAAATGAAAGAGAAATTAGAGATTGATTTACGTACGCCTTTGTCTCTCATAATCCCAATTGCAGCTACATCCAATAACCCTTTTGAAGATATGATGAGAGAAAGGGCCAAAGAGTTCCGAAAAGGTACCCCATATAGCCTTGAAGTAAAGCTAGTTCCCAAAAACTTGCCAATATAACCAACAATCAACAAAAATTCTAACTCATAAGCTCTTTTGGTCAAAGAGAAAAAATCGGTTTTAAACCCTTGCATTGCACAATACAAAGGGAAGAAAACACAAGAAGTAATAGCTTCCAATTTCGCTGAGAAAACCGACGACAAAGGGTGTTCCGGTAGGGTTAAAGAAAATAAAAAAACCGGTAGCAATTCATCGAGCACTTCACCAATCCAAGCTACAATAAGAACAATCAAAAAAATGTACATGAAGTGGGAATTCCTCATATTCCTTCCTTCAGGTGTTTGACTTATAATGTACAAAACAATTGGCCTAAAAACCAAGAATACTAGAATATAGTATCCTAGAGTGATGAACGCCTTCCTCGTTTCAAGTTTAGACCCGTTAAAAAAAGGCGGTATAATAAAAGTCATGACTAAGTTTGTCACCATTAGGACAAGGTCCGGGATCAAGGCTATCGATGAAGCCATACGACCGATATCAGAATTACTTATGCCAAGATCGTTTAGGTTGTGACATATAACCATGAAGAAGGTTTGTGCATTAAGAGCCACCAAAATGAGGAGACTTATGGAAGGTTTTTCGAGTAGTCGAATGGCTTTGAACTCGTTGGTTGCAAGGATTGCAAGAGCACTGAATACATAAGCAAGCGCTAAGCCAGATAAACTTATGACAATAGATTTCAATTGTAATCTTCTTATAATCACACTCATGTTTGTTTCTAATCCCACCATGAATAATTGTAAAACGAAGCCTACTGATGACATTGTTTGTAGTACGTATACAACTGTTGGTGGTAGCAATTTGTGGTAATCGAATAATCGATTCGAAAATAATAGTCCCATTACAAGCACACCACCCTGCCAAAATCACAATATATATAGAATTAATATCATATCAGATCAAGAATTAATATAGAAAATGTTTACAAGAAAATTCAACTTATATCTTCAATTCAAATCACGTGCTAATTTTTAAAAGATGGACTTTTTGTCAAAAACTATCTAATAAAACCCAGATTTTGTGAGAAACTACCTAATAAAATAGTTGTTGTAATAAACTACCTAATAAAGGTAAAATGCTGTAAAAAAAACTACCTAAGAAAAGGTAAAATGTTATAAAATACTACCTATACTGGATTTCCACCGTTGACTAACCTCAAAACACTCGAAACCACTGCTTTCATTCCCATAACTAACACAACTTGCTTGAAATTGCCTCCACCACACCTAAACCACCTTTCAACCCCAAAACCACCACCTCTAACCCCAAAAACCACCATCCCGAGCACTAATCTACCCTCACCAACTCAGAATATCCTCCAATCACCCTAAAAATAACCTTACCACCTTGAAAACCAACCCTCACGGTGGTTTTAGGGGTGTTTTAAGGTGAATCAACGCCGTAAAATTAAGTCAACGGTGAAAATTCAGTCATAGGTAGTATCTTACAACATTTTACTTTTTATTAGGTAGTTTCTTACAACATTTTTTTTATTAGCTAGTTTCTCACAAAATTTAGGTTTTATTACCTAGTTTCTCACAAAAAGTCCTTACAAGATTAAATGTTATTGCATCACCATCACCATCGACATTGACCTAATACTTTTCTAACAAAAATATGTAAAATCAATATTATCATTTTAGCTACATTAATAACCGCATGCTAAGCAAGCTAATTATTAAAGGTTAAGACATTACATTTTGCAAAATTCAATAAACAGAAGAGTGTACATAATTGATCAGATTAACATTCTTTTCTTTTTTTTTTTTTTTCGTCCATTTCCTAAGAAATTTAAATCAATGTATTTGAGGTGACAAAAAATGCCAAAAAACCTACAAATTAAACAACATTTAGAAGCTTTTAGATTCAAATCATTCAATTCTTTTGCTGGTTATACAACACCAAATTCTTATATAAGACGGTTTCATGTTATGAGACTGCACAAATTGCTATTTCAAAACAAAAGTAACCCTTATCTTACCTACGACTTAATTATGCAAGCCAAGCTACCATTATACATAGTATACATACCATTATTTAAAGAGGATTAGGAGGCAAAGTACGTAAAAACAACTTAGAAGTTCAAAGACAGCAACAACATTATCATCAATTGAGATAAACATATACATAAATATAATTGAAAAGAAAGCTTTAATAGAAGAAGCTCGAATTTGAAAACGAAAACATACAATCATTTGAGACGTTAATGGCGTTTGAAGAGGCTTAAGCAAGTACCAAGTGAAGGTAGTTAAACCCAAGATTATAGAAAGATTACACAATATAGTCGATGTATAAGTATCTCTAAGATATAATTCATTTTCCCAAAACCCTTTGTAAACTTTATGTGGTTCAACTTGTTCACATAAAATTGTTGTGTCATTCCATTTACCTTGACTCCACCATTGTTCTGTACTCTCAGCCATAATTGTAAATTACATTAATTTTTGTAAAATTTTAACTCCAAATTTCTGTTCCAATTCCAAATTAACTTAGGCATAAATTGAATAGTTATTTTAGTAGGAGAAAAAAGAGAAAATGTTTCAGAAATTCTGCAGCCAAGAAATATATTTTTTGAGGTTACAAAAAAGAAATGGTTTTGAAAAAAAAACAATGATTAAATTGCTAAACTTGGGACATGCTATTAGATATTTATATATATGATGGTTATTACGAGATCTTTGTTATAGCCGTCCAAGTTTTCTAAAGAAAGAAAATTATATTATGGTCGATCATGTGCCATAATTGGGTTAGGATATTTTGGACATAGTAAAATCATAATTGGAAGTAAGTAATTCATTATTAAATTAAAATTGCATCTTTACATACTTCGTACATGTGTTTTACTCATATGTTCCTTCAATTTGCTCAATTTCCATATACTATTTTACCAACGTTAAGATCTTTAAATAAATAAATACCAATGTTAAGATGTTAAAAAAAAAAAAAATGTTCCAACGTAAGATTGGTGGTTGAAACTCATTAAATGATTCTCCGTCCTAAAATAATACACTGTTGTAAATGGAACTGCAGGAAGAAAAATAATAAGAACAATGTTACCAAGAATGAGACTGAGTCACGGACGATGTCGTTCTCTTTAGAACATTCACGGTACTGCCTCTAATTTGTGCAAGCAGATCGAACCACAACCGGATGTCCCCCAGGATAAAACAGTCTCTCGAAATAAAAATATACTGATGGATTTGCACAGAACCACCGTTCAAACTAAACATTAAAACTACAAGAAAACTGCTCGAATTTTATGTTTTAGGAGGAAGAAGATTAGAAAATATGCTTTCTGTATTTTAAAAATGGTGAGCAAAGTCTCTTTTTATAGCCACAGCAGTAGCATAACAGTAGCCAAAAATCAGCCAAAACAGTTACCAAAAATCCAGGAAAAGAAGTAACAAAGTATTCTGAATTAAAATTAAAAACGGTAATGTTGAATCAGAATTGGAATAAAACGGTTATGAAGGGAATTAGTAAAAAAAATGTTTAGCAAAAATCAAGGCACTAACTACGTAATTAAGCCTTGTTAAAAAACTGTGCAAAAATTAAGTTTGTTTAATAAACCCGACCCGACCCAGCCCAGCCCGGCTCGGTTCGCTTCAGCGCGCGTGTGTGTGTGATAGGTTGGCTTGGTAGGTAAGTCTTCCTTCTCCACAAAATGTGGGTAGCCCTTGAGCCACACCCAAGTACTCCACTCTATACATTATAAAGGAGGAAAAACTCTCATTTCCCACCAATGTGGGACTTTGTGATTCACAAAATTTACACCCATACACACTTTGTTCCAACAATCCCCCACTTGAATTTTTGAAAACATTTTTGAGCAGAATCCTTACACAATTAGGTTGTGCATAAACTTGAACTTCTGCGTAGTAAATACGATTCAGATTTAACAAGGGTAACTTGAAGTTTTGAACCCTATCTCTAACAACGTACCACACATGACCTATTCTTGGTGTTGTTATAGACCCGTGCTATTACGACCATGCACGTCTATCCCAATATAGTGAACGCTCTAGAAATGTTGCCACACATTTCATAGGAAATGGCCTAACTTCCACATTCACATAGGTGAATCTATCAAGAGTACTCCTGTAGTTAGGTACTTCACTCCAAAATGGAGTATAGATTTCATTAAGAGTTCTTATTAACTCATCCTTGATCGCTTCAAGAATTTATGTCTTTTGAACATAATCAACTCATATCACTCCATAACTTGTTATTACCCATTGAACCTATTTTTTGGGATCTCCAGTCCATAGGTTGGGTTACCATTATGTGTGACTCATTTTAATGGCAATAGTCCCATTCTCTTAGAAGAATAATGGACTTTGTCTCTAGCCAATCCTTTCGTCAAAGGATCAACCAAATTATTCTCAGTGCGTACACGATCCACTCTAACAGCTCCGATTGAAAGATATTCTCTTACAGTGATGTGCTTACGACGTATTTGTCGTCTCTTACTGTTAATGGTTTTTCCCATAAGGGAATTTCACCTAACAGGTCTCTTAACCAACCTGCTTCTTCACTAGCTGTAGCTAGTGTTATCATTTCTGACTCCATGGTGGACTGAGCCAAAATAGTCTGTTTCTTAGACTTCCAAGATACAGCCCCACCAGCTATAGAGAAAATATATCCACTAGTAGCCTTAGAGTCATCTGATAAGGTGTTCCAGTCAGCATCACCATAGCCTTCTAGAACGGCTGGAAACCTCTCATAATGTAATCCTAGGTTCATGGTCCTCTTCAGGTATCTCATGACCCTTTCAATAGCATGTCAATGCTCATTACCAGGACAACTAGTAAACCTGCCTAATAATCCCACAACATAGGCAATGTCGGGTCTAGTACAATCAGTGGCATACCGAAGGCTGCCAATGACGCTCGCATAATCAGATTGCCTTACGGCATCACCAGTGTTCTTAAATAATTTTACACTAGGATCATAAGGTGTACTAGCAGGTTTACAGTCAAAGTAACCATATTTCTTTAGGATTTTCTCAACGTAATGAGGTTGATCTAAAGAAACTCCATTTTCTGTCCTAGTAATCTTAATTCCAAGGATTACATGCCTCTCCTAGATCTTTCATATCAAACTCAACATTCAAAATAGCTTTACATTATTCACAACATGAATATTCGAGCCAAAAATTAACAAGTCATCCACATATAGACAAATTATAGTGCAAATGTCATACTCAAATTTTACATATATGCATTTGTCACTACCATTTATCTTAAAACCATGTGAGATGACTAAGTTATCAAACTTTTCATGCCATTGTTTAGGTGCTTGTTTGAGACCATAAAGAGACTTATCTAATTTACATACCAAATGCTCTTTCCTGGGATGACAAAGCCCTCCGGTTGGTCCATGTAGATTTCTTCTTCCAATTCACCGTTCAAGAATGCAGTCTTTACATCCATTTGATGCACTACTAGATTATAAACGGAAGCAAGAGACATTAGCACTCTAATAGATGTTATTCTAGTTACAGGTGAATATGTATCAAAGAAATCAACATTCTCCCTTTGTCTGTAGCCTTTAGCTACCAAACGAGCTTTATACTTATCAACGGTGCCATCAACTTTCAGCTTTCTTTTTAGGACCCATTTGCAGCCAATTGTCTTGAAACCTGGTGGCAACTTAGTTAAGTGCCAAGTTTGACAAGTAAGTCCATTTCGTCATTTACGGCTTCTTGCCATAAGTCTGCATCAACTGAGGCTAGGGCTTCTTGGAGGGTAGATGGATCCTCCTCTACATTGAGAACTTCAAAGTCCGTGCCAAAGTCTTTTGCTACTCTAGCCCGTTTGCTCCTTCTTAGTTCGGGTTCAGCATCCAAGTCTTGTGAGTTAGACCTGACTTCAGGAATAATAGAGGAGGACAAACCCCCACTATTTCTAAATTTAAAAGGAAACCTGTCCTCATAAAAATCAGCATCATTAGATTCAATAATTACACGCGCATTTAAATCAAAGAATCTATATGATTTACTATTAATAGCATAACCAATGAATACACATTCATAATCTCTACTAGCTAACTTAACTCTATTAGGATCAGGAATCCTAACATATGCTAGACAACCCCAAGTTCTGAAATAAGAAATATTAGGTTGTTTATTACGAAGTATTTCATAAGGAAAAACCTTACACTTAGTCTTTGGAACACGGTTCAAGACATAACAAACGATGAGAAGGATTTCACCCCACCAATGATCAGCAGCACCAGAATTTAAGGAAATAGCAACTACTAACTCAGTAAAAGTTCTATTTTTCCTTTCAGCCTTACCATTCATTTATGGAGAATAAGGGGCTGACCTTTCATGTATGATACCATGTAAATTATAAAATTCTACAAAAGCATCAGTATCATACTCAGTTCCACGATCACTTCGCAACCTTTTTATTTTCTTGTTGAACTGATTCTCAAACTCTATCACAAACAACTTAAACATTTCAAAAACATCACTTTTATTTTTCATCAAATAAACACAAGTATAATCAGAACAATCATCAATAAAGGTGATAAAATATCGTTGTCCATTTCTAGTCAACGTTCCATTAAATTCACAAATATTCGAATGAGTTAAGTCTAATGGTTCTGAATTTCTAATAACTGACTTATGAGGTGTTTTGGTAATCTTAGCCTGACTACAAAAATCAAATTTGTCAAAGTCATTAAGAGAAATATTAGGAATAAGGCCTAAATTGCTCATATTTTTTATGAGTCTTTTGTTCACATGACAAAGTCTAGCATGCTAAACATTAATAATAGAACACAACATATAAGCATAATCGGAAATTTTACTAATCTCAACATTTAGTTTAAACATACCATCAGTAGCATATCCTTTTCCTACAAACATTCCATTCTTAGTCAAAGTAAACAAATCAGAACCTATGGTTTGTGTAAAACTAGCCTTGTTAAGAAGAAAACCAGAAACTAAATTCTTTCTCATTTCCGGAGTGTATAGTATTTCGGGGTTTTCTGTGTCCTTCGGTAGAGTTATAACACCAAGACTGGAATCCGGACGTCTGTACCTATAAAACAACAAAGACTCCGGTTGGGGGAGTTCCGCCTCCAACGATCAAGTTAGAACCGGAGTGGAGTTTGTAATAAATGCGAAAGTTAAGAATCTTCTCGAATTACGAGGTCGGGAGTAAATGATCTGCAATTAATATGCTCAGTTGGTTGGTATTGAATGTGAATGGTTTCCAATGGGGAAACATCTCCCTATTTATGGGGTCTAGAAGTATGTGCCACGTGTCCAGAGGGGATTGGTTCTTATGAACCACTCTGAAGGTGACACGTGTCACGCACTGATTGGTCCACGTGGCATAGGGTATTTTTACCCCAAACATTTGCCCCTCACAGATGTGACGTGGCAGACCACGTGGCATCTGTGACACTTGTT